GGTTGCGGACTCTTCCTCCATCCTTAGAGATATTAAAAAAACATCTGAACACAGCCCTGGGCACCTGGCTCTAGGTGGGCCTGTTTGAGCAAGGGTGATTGAACCAGATGACCTCCAGAGGTCCTTTCCAACTTCAGTAATTCTGTGATTTGTAGCAAGTTATTCCACACTTTTGCTTTGAATAACTAAGAACTTTTGCATCATTTGCTATTCAGGCACAACTTTATCTTCTATTAAAGATCTATTCCTTTGATTCCAGAAAACATTTTGGATATAAAGAATGCAGGTTTTTCAGTTGAATATCCTACTATGTGGGGCACAAGCTATCATTTACTTCTGAGAGTTAGACTTCTAAACAGATGAGGTAGGCGTCTACTTTCATTATGAGACTCAGTATGAGTACATCCTTTGAGCTCATGCCCCTTGACTTGTTTTTTCATTTTTCAGAGAAGACAGACTGGAAGATGACTGTTGCCTTAGTTAAGAGGGTAGGAAAGGTGCAAGGTCTTGTATAATTTTCTGTGTGCTCTGTTACTTAGTGACAAAATAGCTCCACTGAGTGTTCTATAGATTTCTGTGTATGTAGTTTTCAAGTTTCATCTGAACTAGGAATTTAGACTTTTTAAAACAAATATTCAGATCTGCATGTTCCTTTAGAAGCTTGTATTACAAGAGTATTTTGTTTTTATTTAGTAGGATGATGTATTTTAGATTTTTTTTTTTCTTTAGTATAGAGATGCACAGGTATGATTTTTCTTACATAAGGATTGCGGGTAGCAAATCATATCAATACCTGTGGCAGAAATGGAAATAGTGGATGGCAATTAATAAATGTACAGATTATTTCAGTGGCACCTACCACAAATGTTATTGTTTGAGATCTGTGGAGTAGCTACGTAGGAGTTGATTCACATTTTTATGAAATGGTATTCTGTAGGCTTCCAACTGTGATGTTAAATTTGTAAACCAGTCCTGATTTCAGTCAGATCATTGCTGTAAGTGGAGGTGGTTGACTACAGTTGAATTTGTATATGGACGCATGTTTGAAGGAGAAGTAATCTTTCCAATAGTTAGAACTCCTTTGACGGATTTCTCCATCTGTACACTGTTAATAATGATGTGAAATTGTGGACATAGGAGGAACTGGGAAGGATGTGAGATGAATTCTGTGTTTCAGATGCTGGTACTTGAATGTGATAGATATAGCATATAGACACAACTTAAAAGGATGTGTGGCTCTTGATATGTAACATTCCTTTTCAGTTGTATAATATAGAAATCATAGAATGGTTACGGTTGGAAGGGACCTTAAAGATCATCTAGTTTCCCCCCGCCCCGCCATCAGCAGGGACACCTTCCACTAGACCAGGTTGCTCAAAGCCTCATCCAGCCTGGCCTTAAACACTTCCAGGGAGGGGGCATCCACAACTTCCTTGGGCAACCTGTTCCAGTGTCTGACCACCCTCACAGTGAAGAATTTCTTCCTATGATCTAATCTAAACCTACCATCTTCCAGTTTAAAGCCATTTCCCCTTGTTCTATCACTACCTGCCTTTGTAAAGAGTCCCTCCTCAGCTTTTTTGTAGGCCCCTTTCAGGTATTGGAAGGCAGCTATAAGGTCTCTCCAGAGCCTTCTCTTTTCCAGGCTGAACAGCCCCAACTCTCTCAGCCTGTCCACATAGGAGAGCTGCTCCAGCCCTTGGATCATCCTCATGGCCTCCTCTGGATTCGTTCTAACTGGTCCATATCTCTCTTTTGTTGGTGTGTCCAGAACTGGACACCGTACTCCAGGTGGGGCCTTACAAGAGCGGAGTAGAGGGGGAGAATCACCTCCCTCGACCTGCTGGCCATGCTTCTCTTGATACAACCCAGGGTACAGTTGGCCTTCTGGGCTGCAAGTGCACATGGCTGACTCATGTTCAGCTTCTTGTCCGCCAGTACCCCCAAATCCTTCTCTTTGGTGCTGGTCTCAAGCCACTCATCGCCTGTATTTATTAATACAGAAGACATGATTTTGAAAAAGTCAGTGGTTTAGTATGATGGTCCAACTTCTGGAGCCATGAGAGCTGTCTGTGCATTTTGAGATCCCCTGGTTTGATTCTTTCATTAATATGACAACGTCTTACATCTATTTGCCTCCATAGACACCTCCTTTCTGCAGCAGCTGCCCACTCTCACTGGGCTGCTTTATCTTTCTCCAGTGTAAGCAGATGTTTCCCATTTTCTGTCCTCTGTATACTTTCCTCCCTGCTCCTCCCCAAATAAAAATCTAATTGCTCAATTTATTTGATTTCCTGTTAGTCTAGATATTTACTTCATCTGTCCATATCTTTCTATTATTTTTTTTTTTCTTTCTGCCCCCATGGGCTTTTTTCCTTTTTTCTTGTTAGAAGTAGATAATAGTTTTGTGTCTTTTTTGTGTGGTTTTTTTTGTTGTTTTTGTTTTTCTCCTTTGTAAGTTCATAAGCAAATAAGATAAATATTTCTAGAGGCAGTAGGAGGTAGCAGAGTTTTCGTTAGAAATCGCGACATTTCCAATAGGCAAGTAATATGTATCCTCTGCTTCTTATTGCTGCCAACTACATAAGGATGTGACCTGAAGTCTCCTGCAGAAGTATCATGTGAGTTTACAGTAATTTAGTTTGTTGCTTAATTATATAACTCTACATACAATTCCTGCATGAGTTCCTACAATAAATATGTTATATGCTTATACGTTTTTCCTTAGGGTTGCAGTGCCTTAAGTATTGCTGTAATATTGTGTGTAAACCCCTCCTGGATGAAAATTCCAGAGGGAATTAGCCAGTTCATTTGCAGCATTGTTTCTTGATTTGAAAGTTGGGAGTTAAAGCAGAGCATGTTTAACTGCTGATTTTTTTGTGTGTTTGTGTATCTATGTATTATCTCTGTTATAAGACCTGTAATGCATACTTTCTAGTTCTGGAAAAGACAGTAGGGGCTCTTCTTGAAGCATAAACAGACAAAAATTAAAGCTTTAGTGGTAACCTCCTTTTTATCCAGTAGATCAAATATCACTCTGTTCCTTTTGAATGTTGGGTTATTGAGTTCTCACATTGGTGGTTAAAACCTACTTCATTTGCTTTCACGTGGTAGTAAGCAGAGTGTGTCATTTTTCCTGGGAAAGGAGAATGCTAACCTTTCTGTTAAATATGTGCTAAAAGAAATTCAAGGCCAACTGGTTGTTGTGGGTAGGATGGGGAGAAAGACAAAAGAGGAGCATTGTGGCTTTGTAACCCATCTGCCAGGGCCCTGGATATCAGTCCTGCTTCTAAGGATTGCTTTATGTCTTAGTTCAGTAGTTCCATTTTTCAGAATACCAGGTTTTTTTCTACACTTTGTCATATCCTCAAGAGGATCATCATTGTACCTTGCAGCTGTAAAGTACTAAAAGTGATTTGGGAGATGACTCAAATTTGTGTCTACGCCAGCTCAGAAGGGACTAGAATCCAGTTCCCTCAATCCCTATGTGAGGTGTTTAAGTTCTTATTGCTTTGGTAGTATCCTAGACAACAAAGCTGAGAGACCTCAAAGAATCGTTTAGTCTGTATCTCAATTCTAGGCAAAATATATTGTGCTTAGAAAAACATTTTTTAAGAATCATAGAATAGTTTGACTTAGAAGGGACCTTTAAAGGTCATCTAGTCCAACCCTGCCTCCAGTGAGCAGGGACATCTTGAACTAGATCAGGTTGCTCAGAGCCTGTGCAACCTGCCATAGCTCTCAAAGTTCTCTCTGTTAAAATTTACGGAAATAATTTCAACTTATAGAATTTCTCCTGATAATTCATGTTATATCTAGTTTTGTCAAAAATCATCAGTGAGCTAGAAATTTTAATCCTATATCTTCTTGACAAGACCTCTTATCTATATCCATCTCCTTCTGAAGTTAGTAGCATATATTTTTATTACGACAGATTTTCTACTCTCAAATATTTGAAATGCGTATAAGTTAATTTGGAACAATCATGCTGCAAAAGCTTAGAAATTAATTTCACTTGTGAAATTGAGAGTTAGATAAACAATAGTAATACATTGAGTGAATAACATTTGATGGTGAAGACTTGTGCTGGCCGGAAGTGGGGGGGGGGAAAGGGGGAGGCGTGGGGAAAGAAAGTTGGGGGCAGAGTGGGGGAGCACAGCCAGATTGGAAGATTGGATTTAAGGGAAGATTTGTGTGGTTTCGGTCTGTTTTATCTGTTTGCATATTGATTGGAATGGTTCCTACTGATACACTATCAAGACTATGCTGTTATTTTAAGTAAAATTCTTATGACAATGTGTGAATAATGAGAAGAAAATTCAGTTTACATGCATTTGGGAGATTCTATTTGTATGAATTATTTGCTGAAATGAAAGAATAAGCCAAAAATTCTAGCGATTAATGTATGTTTATACAATCACTTTCTTTGTGGTATTTTATAATAGGGTGATTACACCATATATTTAAAAATACATCATTTTGGAGGACATGAGGAAAATAGATGTATATTCATTTATGTTCTAAGGTAATGTTAGTTTTTTAACAAGCCAGTGGTCTTTGGTAGTTTTGGTGCATATATTTAGGAAAAAACATTCACAAAAATACTTAAATTTTTGAGATTTGTTATTGTTAAAATCTAATTCAGAATGTTAACCTGGCCAGACTGACTGAAATATGTTGCATGGTATTTTAAGTATGACTTTCACGACCTCAGACCATTCATACAATTAACACCAACATCTTTATTCAGTTTCTATATATTAAAAAACCTCCTGTGTTCTAGAAGGCTAACATAATGACAAATTTGACTGAAGAACAAAAATTTTGAGAATGCAAACAATAAATGCAAAACCTCTGTATTTTTTGGCTGTATGTTCTATGATATGTTATTTTATTTGTAACTTGACTATGCTTAATAGTAAATATGTTTTCTGAATTCATTAATGTTTTCCCTAAATATTAAGAGTTAACAGTGAGTGTATTGATGTTTACTTTGGCAGTAAAAAAAGAGGACCAGAGTTTTGAAGAAAAGAAATCCATTAAGAAACGAATTAAAGAATTAAAAGTTTTGGACCCAAAGATTGCACAGAATCTGTGTAAGTAGGTTCTGTTTTTATGACAAAGTAATGTTGTTTAAATGTTCCATAAAAATGTCTTTCTCTCTTGTCTGACTGCCTAGTAATCACTTTTTATTTAAAGTGTGTGAAAATATGTACATATGTGCAGTAATTGATGCTAAGACCAAATATGTGAGTTGATACAACTGAAATACATTTAAAAAGACCTAGAAAACAGTTAAAGGTTATCCCTTGATTAAGACTGAAATTATTCTCTTCTGTATATATTGAAGTACAAGCATGCAGCTGTATATTTAATTATCTATCTATATTTTCAACATATTCATCAAGGAATACTGTCTGCCTTGCCTCAACTTCCCCCACCGCCAGCAAAAAAGACAGTGATATCTACAAGATGCCTGGTTATCTCTCATGTCCTTCATAGAAAGAAGGCAATACTCAGTATTATACAGTAATATGCAAATAAAGATCATAAAGTTTTGGCAGAGAGGAGTTCTATAAAGAATAGGTTCCTAAATGCCAGCAGATATAAAATCGGAAATAATTGGATTAGGGTGAACTGTGAATTGGAACTATACGATCTTTAAGGTCCCTTCCAACCCAAACCATTCTGTTATTCTATAAATGAATAAACAGTTTTTATAAGAGCATTTTGGTTTTTAATTGTTTATATGGTTTTGGTTTCTCATGTTGCTTTTTTATGAGAAAGCTCTGAGAAGGCCATTGAAGAAAGAAGTGTAATTGTCACCTCAGCACAAAATACTGTAACGGCAATGACTATCCTGCAGAGTAGTCTTGTCACTAGCTGCTTAGGGAGGTTTTCCGTGATGCTGGATATTGTGCATAATATCTGTATTACTTTGCATAGTGTCTGTTAACCTGTAGATGTTATAGCCTGTTCAGTTGGTGTTTTGTAAGTAGCAAAAAGATTGCTGTTGTCTTGCTTTCTTTGTGATGTGTTGAATCTTTGTTTTAGCAATTTTCCTTGGCTCTTTCCGAGTGCCTTATGAAGAAATCAAAATGATGATATTGGAAATAGATGAAAAACAGCTGTCAGAGTCCATGATTCAGGTAAGGAAAATGACACTTTAAATCCCAATATTTCAGGGCAAACTTCTCATTAAATAGAAACCTGTAGCTAAAAAGCCTCTTAGCATAAACTTTTGGCTAATAAATCACTGCAAGAATCTTTTTTTCTGAGAACTATAGGGTTCTTTTTTGGTTTATTTTATGAAAGTAGCTGACTTTATATTCTCTATTTTCCGCTTTTATATTTTTCACACCTAAATTGAGATTTTTCTTTGGTATATATTCAAACAGCATATGATACTCTGTTTCTTCCCTAGTTTTTCTTTAATTTGTTTCTACCTCTGTCTCATCTTCACAGATCTGCTGCTCTGGTCAAAAACTAGATGAAAAAAGGTTTATGTGGGTTTGGTTTTGTTTGTTTTTTTCCCCTGTCCTGTTAGAGCTGATAAAATCTGTGATCTTACCTTAGGGTATCCATAGTGACCACTTTTCTTCCCTGGAGTTTATTTGGATAGTGTTTTTCCTTTCTGTATTATTTTATTAAATACAGCATACCTGAAAGTGTGTTAGACACCTGGGTACCAGTCCCTACTGAAACAACCAAGAAAGATAAAGTTAGATTTTCAGAAATGTATGCTTTTTGCAGGAATGTTGATTAGTGAAGAAGTAATAGACAGTCATAGAATGAGTTTGGATACATCTGTTCTTTAGTTACAAATCTAGTATTTTCATACTTTAGTAAGAGGATCTATACTGTGACCTAAGGGTGATATTGCAACTTGAATAAACACTTGGGGCTAGCTTTAAACTAGTTAATACAGGTTCTGAAGATAACATAGAGCCACTGAGTTGACTACTAGTTTAGGGATATTTTTGGGGTACTAGTTAAAGAGTTTAATTCTTTCTTCTTAAATTAGGTAAGTATGTTAAGCAAAGCATAACTATGACTTTTTATTTGTCTGACTTCAGAGAGGTTATTTGTATATCCTAACTGGCTGAATTTCCTGTAGAAGAAGAAATTAGGGTCTTTTTTTGGATAGAAATAGGGATTTTTTCAAGACTTTTGAATGGAGAATCCAGCCCAGTAACATAAGTAAATTCTTTTCTATTGATTGTATATCACCAAAGCTATATACTTTCAGAGTAATAAAAAGGAATTTGGCTTAACCAAAGTGTCTACCTTTTCCATCGAGTGCAGGGGAAATTCTGGTGTTAGTCTTTCTGATCCTTTATTGGAATATGGTAGTAAGTAGTGGGATAGCTGTGTTTGCTAGACCTGATTCAGTGTTAGAAGGATTGAATCTTTATTTCAGTTTAGAAGAGTTTTCTTATCAGTAGACCAGGGGATGTTTTTTTTTTTTAAGTAAGAACACAGTTTCTCTCTTGGTTTCTTGGTAAGCAGGAATACAAGAGTCGTAAGTTGAGAAAGAGAGCAGGCTAGAGGGACCCTGACTATTGTCTAGTAGTTATAGTAGTCATCTGCGGAAGGGACAGAACTGAGCTACTGGCTCAAATTATATACCATAGTTAACTATTTGAGAAGCACTCTACTTCCAAAACCTCAGAATAGCCTTTTTTATAAGTAAATATAGGTGTCTAAGTGTTCAGGAAGCTCCAGAGAGTCTGAGGACTCTTCAGATGATCAGATGGAGGGAATCTTAGCTGTGTTCACAAGACATTCATTTGTGTAAGTGTCAAAGCTCCTCATATGGACTCCTGAATTCAGCTGAAGATGAGTCCCACCTTTGAATACCTACCTCTGGCAAGTTTTCAGGCTAAGCAGTGTCTAATGGGCTTAAGCTTCTGTTTTGAAATACTAGAAAATAATTTATCCATTTTCAAATTACTTTTTGTCTAACATTAATAATTCTTGCCATCCTTTAGTTGGATATAGTACACTTAATTCTTTTTCTGCCTTCCCTGTTCTGTTCACTTCTTGATGTTCTGTTTGCATAGTTCCTATCAAGCATATTCTTTCTTTAAAAATGGTGTTTAAAAAAAGACTACAGAAATGTTTGTAGAATCAGCAGAAGATGCTAGATAGAAGTATTTAATCACTTGCTTTTTACAATCTCAGTTATGTTAATTTGTGTGTTACCAATTTACATTTGACTGTCTTCAGGTAGGAATGTTGCTTTTGGAGTGTATGGTAATGATGCATATGTAATACCCTTTCCCTAAAATAATACAAGCAACATAGAATCTGAGAATTTTAAGCCTATTTTATTTTTCTTGATAGAATTTAATAAAACATCTTCCTGATCAAGAACAATTGAATGCATTGTCCAAGTTCAAGAATGAGTATAATAATTTGTCTGAGCCGGAGCAGTTTGGAGTTGTGGTGAGTTCTGTTTTGTTATCACTTTTTTTTGTCCTTTCCTGTAATATAGTTTTAATATAATGTTATAGAAATAATGTCAGCTGCTCCATCCTAAAAATGTGAAGAGGTTCCAGCCTGGGAGAAAAGTACTACTGCTGCCTTTTAATCAGACATTCGTTGGACATATCCATGGATGTAGAAGGCCTGATTGTTGGAATGTTGCTGTTCGAATTATTTGAGATTCTCTTTTTTTTAAAAAAGGAACTTAGGTTATGAGAAAAAAAAAAGAAAAAGTTGTTTTCTGTGGCAAAGTTTCACTGGGATGGAGATATGGAGTTGTTTTTTAATTTCCATAGCTAAAATATTTTGGCTTTACTTTTGCATTAATAAATCTTAACTTTTTTGGTGACATTTTCTGTACTGCTGTTTTTCTTTCTATGATCCATGTAAATGAGAAAAAAATACTGTAGTTATCACAATGTTAACCTATTCTGTCTCCTTCCTCCTATGTTTTATAATATATTCTCTCAAGTAGCACTTCTAGTCACTTTTTCCATTTGCAGTGGGAAGATACGATTATAGTATTTCCCACGTTGAAGTAACAAAGGAAGACTGGAAGAGAGAAAAGAAAACAGTGCTGGCTAGTTCAGTGCTGGCAGATGATGCTTTTTGTGGAAATATAGTTTGTATATAACTTCTGCATAGCTCAAAATTGTTAATTATTTCATCCAGACAAACACAGAATAAGGCTATTTCTTTTCCCAGGTGGGGTGCATGTATCTGTATGAGTCTTTGATTTTTTTATTTATTTTTTTTATTTTTTTTGTCCACTCCTAGCATTTCAAGCTAAGATGGCATTGTTAGCCTCATCTAGGAGGGTTTCCCTGAGAGGAAATAATTCTTTTAGATGTATCTGTGAGCTTCAGGAAAAGGAGTATCATATCTTTGTAACATTAGGCACTTGCTGCTGGTGGATATCCGAGTGGATATCAAATACCTGTACTTAAATACTGGAACAGCTGGAGCACAGGTGTGGGATATAAAAGCAGCGATCACTATTCTAATCAGTTCTGAAGAATGCTGGTCTGGTCAGGAAACACCACCGCATTGAATTGGTTACAGATGTGACATAGGCAGTCTTCTTTGAGTACAGGTACTTGTAAACCAGAACTAGTTTTGAAGTGGTGCTTTTGCTGAAAGCTGTTGCTGCTGTTCATTTTCGATCCATCTTTAACAAGAGTAACAGTCATTGTACATCTAATGTAATACTGGTGTCTCTGTTCTTGGGAGTCTTCTAAATACAGTCTGGGGGCAAGAAAAAAAGGAGGAAGAATGCCACTGTTTTTAACACTTTTATTTATTTTCCAAGATTTTCGTATATAGTTTTCTGATTGAAGCCAAATTATCAATTTCTCTTGGTCCAAATTTTTTAGTTACAAAAGGTAACGAAATCTTTTGCTTTTTATTTCTTGTTGAAGTTTAATCAGACATTCAAGAGATCTATTTATAGTTCATCCCTATCTTAACTTTTCTTTACTTGATTAAATTATCACTATTTATCTCAAAAGGTCATTAAATACATCTCTCAGATTCTTTACAAGAAGTATCCTCCCTCCACAAAAAAGTGCAGTCAAAACATATTTTGATGTTTTATGAGATATGAAACTAATGCTTTCAGCACTTCTGTTGTTGCAAAAAACCACAAAATGCCTAAATTCAGAAAAATTATTACCTTTTCACTTGTTTTCTCATAGTATTTGTTTATTCCCTACAGAAGATAGCAGTAGTTTTACAAAGGTATGTTTCACATTGGTAAGTTTTAGATTTCTTTTCAGACTATATTACAGAGCTTTAGAAAGAGATAAACAGGTTAGTTAAATCTACCATGACCAACAGTGGTGAGAATTATCATGTTTGAATCTGTTCTCTATGTGGAAACTTTGGTTTAAATCTATAATTTTATAACTGAGTGTTCCTACATTTGTTTACTCAGTTGTGGTAATCAACGTAAAGTTAAGATGTATCAATATATTCATATCTCATTACAAAAAAAAAAAAAAAAAAGTGAAACCACAAACGACAACCAAAAAAACACCCCAAAACCAAACCCCTGAAGAATCAGGGGTTTGCAACATTATTGGTAACTGTTAGTTATTTTTTTCAGATGTACCAATTCAGTTAGATGGGACTGTTAATCTGACAAGAAGAGCTAGACCAACAGTATTATAAGTCAAGTTTTGGTGGATGTGGCCCAACTGATTTGAAAAATCTGTCTTAAAAAATTGAGGCAATGCGATAACTGAAAAAAACGTTGCACTAAATAATAAAGAGTTCTTAGATCTCAGAAGTTGATGGAGTTTCTTTTCTGAAGGAGGAAACAGATTCTCACTGAACAATGCAGGTGTGAGCTTTCCCTAGTTTTCCATGCAAAGCATTAAAAAACCCCCAACAAAACCAAACCCTTCAATTAGAATGCGTGACATTAGGAAAACTGTGCCTATGCATCTAGTAGAGCTGACTTCAGAGAATAAGCTACAGTTATTAACATGAAACACTTTTCATTTCTCTTGGAGGGAGGAAGTTTTGAATAAGTCAATTTTTTTACTGTTTGAGTATGGAATCTTACACATTTGCTTTTCATTAAGGTTATTCAATCCCCACCAGCCTCTTATATCTTATTTCATTCTAGCTGGGGAGCAGGCTGAGAATTTCTAGTCATTTCTTTAAGGACTGCTGCTGACGCAAATATGAATGTTCTCAGTATAGCTGTTGGGTTTTTTCCCTTAAAATAGCTGTTTAATTTTTTTGCTGTTCTTTTCAAATGAGGAGAATCAAACATATATAACAAGACTTTTGGGTTTATCTTTTAGGTGAGTAGTGTCTTGCAATTATGGTACTTCATAGAATTTTGAGATCCCATCTTAAAGAGCCAAAGTAGTGAATAAACCGATAATTACAACTTGTGTGATAGTAAAAAAACAATATAATAGAAACTTTCTTTTATGCTTCTACCTTTGAATTTAAAGTCAAGATTTGATACTCTAAAAGAAACAGCTAGACACTTACTGAGATACTGGCATGCTGTGACTGTTACAGTATTGTATGTTTTACTTCAACCAAAGTTAATTAACTTTTATTAGCTTAAAAACATTGAAGGCCTGACTCTAAACAGTTCAGGTTCTCTTTGTGAGTGTGGTTTCGGTTTGGTTTTTTTTTGGTAACTCTATGGGTTGCTTTTGTGGTTTCTGCACACATCCTCTTCTTTTTAAGTTACTTTGTACTTTTATGTTTTCTGTTCATTCAACGGTAAGTATAAAATAAATCCTTTATTATCCTTATCTTCTGTTCCAGACTTTAGGTTTTCTTTAGATAATCTACTTTATTTTCCTGTCTGTTCTTTCTTTCACTTTCTCTACTCTGATGTCTTGAAACACAGATATTATCACCTATTACTCTGGAGCTTGATTGTTTTGTTGGTTGGTTTGGGATTTTTTTTGGGGGGTGGGGGGTGTTTTGGGGTTTTCTTGGCTTGCGCACAGCCATGTGTTAAAGAAATTTCTTTGTCCTAGGTTTCCTGCAGCAGGGTCTCGCATTCCAGATTCAGGAAAATAAATAATTTAATTGAGTGGTACAGCAATAGGAGCAGCTTGAGCTGGGTACCTCTAGAAAGGGACCCAGAACAAATAAATCCTTGGGCATTTATACTCTTGCAGTCTATGCAACCATTCTTCAGGTGCCTCTTGGTCCAATGGTAACTTCTGGTCTAGGGTCTTCTTGTTCCTTCTTGGATTCCTGCTCTGTCTCTAGTGGGCTGTCCTAAGTGTTCTTGTCTGGACAGGTTGCAGCTTCTGCTGACAGTTGTAGCCTCCTTATCTCCCAATTTGCACTGGTTTTAGGGCCTCCTTTCACAGAACTAAGCAACAGTTCAGGTTCAACATTTCTACGTGCAAGTTTGCAGCTTGTGGCCTAAGGCTTCAGTAAATCTGGCTACTCATGCTAAGGAAGTTGGACTGAACACACAGTATATTAAATTGCACAGAGTGATTAATTCTATTTAAAACATACTTATTTAAGCTAAATGGCTAGTATTCCTTAACATCATGAACTATTTTATGAAATCTATGTTAGATCTGTTCATCTTATTAAACGTTTCAACTTAGCTTTGCCATATTTTTTTAAGGTAATGTTGTTTTGAATGCTTTATTTTGGTGCTCAAATTCTTGATGAAGTGCTTGCCAAAATTTAAATAATTAATTGCATTTTGAATATGGTTCATGTTTTGTACTTGGTTCAGTAAGTGCAATAAGCTTCCTCCTAAAGTAGTTTAACCTTCATATTATCTTCTTGTAGGTTTTATTGATTATGACTGATATTGAGCAATATAGTCTATAAAACTTTTTAGTAAAGAAGACTGTCTTTTCTAATTTAGAAATGAGTAGTCATATGACAGCAAACTTACAATGTGAGACCCGTCTGAGTTGGAGTTTCAGCTAGATGATCATCTTGGTAGGTGACTCTTGAAAGAAGGTTGTTTTTTCGGTTTGTGGGGTTGATTTTTTTTGTTGTTGGGTTTTCCCCCCCCTATGCTTTCTCTAACGGGCAGTATAAGTATTATGTTGCCTTAGGACTGAGTAGCTATTTTAGCTGTGTGGTTGGTTGGTTTTGGTTTGTTTGTTTTTTCCCCTTTTAGTATAACTGTCAGGGTATTGTGTGGCTTTCAAGGAGCAAGAGGGGCTTTCTGTAGCTATGTGAGTTAATCTGACATCTAAAATAATTTCGGTTCTGATCCATTAAATTATGTTTTTAGTTTGTACTGTGTTCTGGCATGAGTCCGCTGTTGACTCACCTGGGGACAGCCCTACTTTTCTTACCTCTTGCTTAGGCCATCTAAAGCCCCCAATTGTCTGCCAAGTGAAGGTGATGATCACTTCAGAAAAAAATAATATTCATTTAGATATTCTCTTGAGGAAAACTTAAAAGGAGAAACAGCACTGTGGGTAATCTTAAGTATAAAGAACAGG